GCGACTCTAGGTGTAATGTTTTTCTCTGCTTGGGCACATGAAGGCTCCTTCGGCACGTCTACTATGGTGTGATAGAACCTGACTGCTGGCCAGCATCACAGGCGACTCTCCTAGAGTGGCTTGAACAGACCTTAATGTAAACAGATTAATAGATAATGAGAGGTGTGATTGGTGCTGAAAGGGCAAATCGTGGGTTTTTGTGTTTTTTCTCTGTCTGATGGGATCTGCTGTTTGCTATTTCAGCTTCTGCAGAGCCTGTGGAGACCTCCCGCTGGACAGAAGAAGAAATGGAAGTTGCTAAAAAAGGTAAACCTTCTGAAGCATTGATGCTTGCTGCTGGTCATTAATTTGGCCTAGCAGCACTACTTGGAATGAATACAACAGAACTCTAACCTTTTGCTATTTGGAAAGAGGCTTTTTTTCTCGGGAAGGAAATATCCGTGCCAGTAAAAATCATGCTGATTGTAACTTTTTTGTGGGACATGGCTCTCAGAGAGCTATTTGATTTCACCAAACAGCTAAAGCTGTATTTGGTTTGGTGTAAAACCATTTTCCAAAGACCATGTATAAATTCCGAAACTCATGTCAATGAAACTTTATCTGAAATGTGTATAAATACCAAGTATTCTTTTTTATAAGATACATAAACACCATTTCCAGGAGATTTAGTTCCTTTAGTTGAAGTGTTAATTTACATTGTCATTTGTCAAGTAGCTTGACAAATGTTGACTCACCAAAACATGTTTGTGTGTGTAATTTGCATTCTAGCAAAACTTAGTGGTAGCCATTAGCTACAGCAGGGACTTAGGTTGGAAGTATTTATGAGCAGGCAGTAGAGGATTTCTTGTAGGACCTGGTAGTTTCCTTTGCTCTTCTGTTACTCTGTGCTAAATATTTTGCAAGGGTTGGCAAAATTCAGCTCTTCTGAAAACTAATGTTCATGCATCCTACAGAAAGCGTTCTAAATATGCTGTTCAAATAAGACTTCAGTATGCACACGTTCAAGTTTAGGATTTTACTAATTCTTAGTCAGGCCTACATATTCCTTTACTCATCCAGGCTTTTAAGTGTTGTATAACCCTCAGACTAAAATAAAAATTGCTTCTCTGCCATTGCCTAATATACATTGTTTCTGCTGTTTGCAAATTGTGCCCAAGTTCTGAGCATTTAAAATAGATGCTGTGTGAGACCCTAAGCAACAATTTTATGCTAATTCAGGTGCAGCTAAAATGTCCCTAAAGAGGAATTTTAAAAGAAAATCTAATCCGAATTTTAGTGACCTATTTTATATGGGTTCATTAAGAATATAGCTTTTCAAATCAGTTTTGTATTTGAATGAATGAAGCTATTTTCTTTTTAGGCCTGCCAGTTCAGTCATACTCTTGGCAGGGGCCTAGTATGATGTAGAGAACTTTTTACATCAGAAAGAACAGTTCTCCTAACCATTGTGAACTAAATGTAGAAGCTGGATAATGAGAGCTTTTGAAACTTTGACTTCGCCTTTTATAAGAACATTGTGTCACTCCTCTTTTGTGTAGTCAAGAAAGTGTTTTTTTTTAAATTCTTTTAAAAAGAACATTGAAGTGAGTAATTATGTTAGTGGATGCGAAGCTTAGAACAACTCTTACTAGGTTTGATTTTTACTTCATTTTTTGAAGGGAGGTATGTATAACTGTGCTGTAATACAAAAAACTACCTTTCAAAGATTTTGTAAAAGTTTTTGTTATATTTTTTTTTTTAAATGACTAGGCGTAGCCACAAATCAGCCCAAGAAAGTTTACCCTTTTCTAAAATTTGAATCTTGGATATCTGTTTCTTAATGTTGTTTGAAGTAGCATTGTGCACATGTTTACATGCAGGTGTTGCAAGCGTTTTGTACTTGACTTTTTCAGAAGCAAGAGGTTAGAAGGGACTAGGTAATTTGTTTGATGTGTACTTATCTTGTAGTCAGACTACCAAGGTCATCTTGGTATTTATAAATGGGGAGAGACACAGCAGGCTCAGGCTTTCAAAATCATTTAAATTGCAAGTTAACTCTTTAATCACTAGTACCTTTTGGATTGTAGCTAAAATGTGTAATACTACCTTAATTAAAAGTAAATGTGCTTCCAAGACTGAACTCAAAGTATATTTAGTCTGTAAGTGCTAATGATGCCAATGCAAATTTCTCATTTTCTTCCCTGCTTCTGGACCCTTTTACTGCTATTTTATGGGAGTCTTCTGCAGGTACTCCTCACTTAACGTCATCCCGGTTAATGTTGTTTTGTTATTACGTTGCTGACCTGTTAGAGAACATACTCATTTAACGTCACTCAGTGTTCAGTTATAACGTTGTTTGGCCACCGCCTGCTAGTAGGTAACTACTGTGACGTAATTAGATTCACTTAACGTTGTTTCACTAAAAGTCACAGTTTTCAAGAACATAACTACAACGATAAGTGAGGAGCAGCTGTACTTTCTCTGAGGTGGTCATAGTGTTGCATTGGGGTCTTTTTTTATGTCCCAGGAAAAATCAGATGAACTTTAACTGGGGAGACGGCATGAACCAGTGTCTACTGGGAATCAGGCTTGGGGTTTTAGTCCCAGCTGTTGTTCACTGACTTTGACTTTTTGCACAGTCTGAACTTCTTGCTGCACTTCTGTTTTGTTGTCTGGAAGATGAGACCAATACCAATCACCGTAAAATACTTCTCAATATAGAGCTGACAGGAACAAATTGTATGCAATATAAGGGCTAGTTTTCTGTCTTGACTAGATGTAAAATTCTACATGGCATGACTTCATTTAAACTGACAACATAGACAGTCCCTAAATCTGCTTAGTAGGGCTGTATTTTCTATCCATTAAAAATTGCTTAAATGATTAATCTGACTTCCTCTGCTTCAGCAGCTATCGCCCATTTTCTGGGCAACTAAGTAATGTCACTTCTATCAAAGACAGACTAAAATGGCTGTGAAACAAAGACGTTCTCAGCACATTCTTATGAACTACCTGACAGGCTAAAAATATTTTCCAATGTATTTTACAAAACCAACTCCTTCTCGATGTGCTAGTATCACATATTCCAAGTGATAAGTGTGCTGAGCAAAAGCATGTCATAAATGTTGAGATAACTGATTCAGTACTGAACTGTTAAGCTATTTAAAGGTTGTATTTCATTACTATCAAATGTTATAAAATAAGGGATTGAGTATATACTGTAAAAAAATATTATTACAAGATTTTTTTTTTTTAGATTTATATGCCACCCTTCCCACATGTGGTCATGATAAAGGTCATTTAAAGGCAGCACTTTTTAAACTCACTGTTTCCTAGTTTCTTTGTTTTTTGGCATGGTATTTTTGTTTGGTTTATTTGATTTCTCAGTTTTTTTGATTATTTAGCTTGGTAAATGTTAAGTTTGGATTTGTTTAAACAGGATTAGTGGAACATGGTCGCAATTGGGCAGCAATTGCCAAAATGGTTGGAACTAAAAGTGAAGCTCAGTGTAAAAACTTCTACTTCAACTACAAAAGGAGACATAATCTGGACAACCTCCTTCAGCAGCACAAGCAGAAAGTGAGTAAACAGAGGTTTTAGGGGGAGAGCTGGGATTAAACTATAACTCATTGAGGCTTCTTCTGCCGCTCATGCTGCTGGCCAGTACCCTTTTAGATAAACAGTTCAGAGGTATTGGTCATACCAGCTTGGCTTGTTTTTGTGTTGTTTTGTTTTGTTTTTTTAAAGATGCAGGAGAATAGTCTGCATCATCCACATACAGCATTTGATCTTAAATCCCAGCATGTTTCGTGAGCTTTGTGTATATAGGCTGTGTGTGTGCGTGGAAAGGCGTATGGTGTGGAACATGCGAGTGTTAAACAGCCAGCACCAAGAGTGCATAAAGGGTCAAGATAGCCACTTGAACTCTAGTGGTTGAAGGTTTCTGGATACCTAGTTGGTGGAATTTATTCCCATTGAAGTAAATAGCAGCTATGCTGCACTGAGGGAACGTTGTTAGGCCAAAATTGACAGCTTTTTGCAATCTGCCATAAGGCTGTATTCTGCCTTTAGCTGTATGAGTAGATTACAATAGATTACCTGCTGACACAGTGGGAGTTACTTAAGGTTGCTAACAAGCAAAATAACTTCTAATTTTGAGTGTCTAAAAGCTTTTATGCATTTGGCAGTGCTGCATTTTCGTTGGCCTTGACAGTATAGCGTGAAGTTAAATCAATGTGTGAATCAATGCAGAAAAAGATCATTGCTAATGAGGAGACTCTTTCTTTGAAATCTGTTATAAAATGGAGAGTACAATGTATTTAAAATGAATATATGGACATAGAAAAAATGAAGTAAGTGTCACATCTTTCTGACAGTCTTCACGACGGCCCCGTGAAGAACGGGATGTATCTCAGTGTGAAAGTGTGGCATCAACTGTGTCAGCTCAGGAGGATGAAGATATTGAAGCGTCCAATGAAGAAGAAAATCCAGAAGACAGTGAAGGTAACGGTTAAGTTGGAAAGAAGCTCCTTTTTTGTGCCAAAATGGTCCTACGTTTTAGTTGGCAGTCCTATTGGTCACCTGCAAAAGTTGTCGTTTTCAGTAACCCAAAAGTTACACTTTGTTGCATTAAAATAGTCTACTGGCATTTTCAAATTCTACTTTTGTCCTGGATTTTAGCAGGTGGAATTGTTACTGTATCTTTTTCTGACCGGCCCTGATCTTTTCTGACCCTTGCTTTTGGCATTAAACCATTTTAGATTGTTACTAATGTGTAACATTTTGAGAAGCCCTTTACTATGCTACCAGTAAAGTGTACTACAGCATGTGCCTGAATGAACAGCCCACTTAAAATGATGGAGAATCAAGATTTCTAGTCTTTAACTGGTTACTGGTCTCAGAAAAGCTGCAAGCAGGCAGGCAACTACCAGCTCCTTGTTCTGGCTGCAACTTTTCAACATTAGAGACCTGCCACTGTGTTTGGCATGGGCCACCCTTATATAGAACCGTCCAGTAAATTCTTAAACTGAATCAGAAAGTTTAGGGTAGTATCTCATGCTGCTGTCTGCATAATTCATTGAAAGGAAGCTACTAATAATTAGTGGAGAGGATCTAAGTGGTGAGAATTGGTGGATCTTTATGCTTTACTTATCTGTTTAGCATACCGTGTCAAAAAACCCCTCTCCATGAACACGCTTATTAAAACTCGGGTGCATCTACATGCACAATTAGCATGGAGCAATGAACTCCGACGCAGTTCACACCAGTGTCAGTGGCTCTCAGGCGCAGCATATACATGTGCACCTGGGACCGCAGCAGTTAGAGCTAGGGTGGAGCAGCCTTGGGCTGGCTGCAGGCTCGGGTAAGTGGGGTGGGTCAGCCCCAGGCTCTGGGTTGAAGCGTCGGGTGACAGGAGCTGGCTGGGGCATGATGGTGCTACAGTGTGGGGCTAGCCAGCCCCAGTCATTGTATACACAATTAACTCCTACGGTGGAGTTAATTGAATTTACTGTGCCCTAATATGAGCACAGATGTAGACTGTGATGCTTTCTAATTGGTCGACTCCACGGTAAAGCGCAGATGTAGACGCGTCCCCTGTGACTCTTCTTTCCTTTGGGGGCATAACCATAAGCCATAGGTGAATACCTTGTCTGTAAAAAGTTATATAATGAACGATAGGTTAGAAACCTTGAACCTTTCAGTTAACTAGAATTGCATGGTTGGCTGTACAGAATTAGGTTTCCTTTTCATTGGAAACGTCCTCTGAATGGGAAAGGCATGTAGTTGCTTTCTAAAAAATACCAAAAGTTTGTGGAAGTGTGTTATATTTAAATTTAAATATTTCTTGTTGAAGTGATTTTAATCAGTGTTCTTATCTTGAACATGAATCTCCTGAGTAGAATCTGTGTTTTATTATGCAACCATAGTTTTCCCTAACCATTTTTAGTTTACTTTATCAAAGTTTCTTAATCTGGAGGCTATTTATGATACAGTTAAGTCATACAAAGTGGATAGAATTACTAGGGTGAAAGCTGAATAGTTAAACTTCATTTTGAAGTGGCACAAAATATTAGCGATGCTGACGTGTACTTCCTGCTATAGATTAAAGGGCCTTTGTTTGCCTGTAGCCACAATAGGCATTGCTTTCGTGACTAACGGTCTCCTTTTGCTGCATGAAAAGCAATAGCAGACTGCTTGTGTTGCACACTGTTTTGGTGGATGGATGCCAATTCTAGAAGGATGTCAAGTCATGGAATTGGAACAATTTTTAAGGTTGTGGCTTGTAGCCTGAGAGTCTTACAGCCTAAAATTCAAATAAGTTTGAAATGAGGGCAATTATATACCATGAAAATTAACTGGTTAGACTTGTTTGCAAATTATGCAAACATTACTCAAAATTAACGCTCTGCTCTTCCTCTGAGGCCTGTAAAATATACATACTTAATTCATTAAAGTTTTGCTCCATCATGCTATACTTTAGTTTGTGCTGAGACCTACCTAAATCATGCAGAGAATCTCAATAAGAAGTATTGAGATTCTGCATAAGGAGAAGTTCTGCTCATCAGGGCCTCGTTATCTAATCTTGGCATTCTGATTCCAGTCTTCCTCTTCAAACTGTTCCTTCTGTTCGCTTATCCCTTTGTTATTTCAAGCAGTTAGTAAACTCTTTGGAGCAGGGGCCTCATTGGCTTATTGGAACTTTTGAGGCAACTGCTACACTTTTGGTTGTTAATTCTTCTGAGAGCTTATGCTAGAACCATGTCTTTCAGGTGCCGAAAACAGCTCAGATACAGAGAGCGCTCCATCTCCTTTACCAGCAGAAGCTGTTAAACCTAGTGAAGATGCTGTGTCTGAGGGCACTGTTTCTAGAATAACCACTGAGACGGCAGCAGAGCAGGAATCTGCCATTAAAACTGCACCCAGTGCCTCCCCTTCTGCAGCAGCCCAGTGCACGCAAACAGCTGAAACTCAGAACTCTGAGCCCCAGGTTAAAGAAGAAATAAATAATGAGGTGGGAGAGCCTATGGAGGTGGACAATAGAAGCCACTCAGCTGAAGTTAAACCTATGCTTAACCTTCCAGTGCATACCAAAGCAGAGCCTGTAGACACTGAAATGAGGTTACCAGAAAATATTCAAGTGAAAATAGAAAGTGAAACCAAAGAAAGGGATATGGAGAAACCCAAGGAAAAGTCAGAACCTGAGGAAATGGACTTCAGTCTCACACAACAGTCTGCTACAGCAAGACAGGAAACCCATTCAGACAACGATTCGAGCGCCACGTGTAGTGCCGATGAGGATGTTGATGGAGAACCTGAAAGACAAAGGTGAGTTTAATTATGCATTTTTCAGTGATAACATGAAGCTAGTCTCGGCTGTCTTGCCAGGGCCTTGTTAAAGCTTTCTGAATTTTCTGTGCCACGTGTTGCTGTTCAGCCCATGGAATGGCATTGGCTCTAAGAAGTGAAATTTTATATGCAATGGAGGAAGACTTACAGAATCACAATGTATGAACAAGCAGAGAGGGAAGTAGAAGAGTGGTAGCAGTGAAAGGTGACAGCATAAACCAAAAATGTTCCTTATTTTGCTCTAAGATATATTCCAGTTCTGAAAAAGTATTTTTCTGAATGTATGAGTGGCTTAGGTCATTGGCTGCCTTCTGTCACAGACATCTGAAGTAGGATTTGGGCTAGGCTGTGGTCTTTAGCTTACTTTTTTAACTTTGATATGCTAAAACTCTTGTAGTGCTTACCATAGTATTTGAGAGACAAATGTTTAATAGATTTTTACGGGTACCTCTTACTTTCCAGTTACATGTTTTTAATGACAGCATGCAGCTTGCACACATTAAAGGATTCAGACAGTTTATGAACTTGGGGTTTAGTAACAGCCTCTGTTTTAAGGCATTCTTTGTTCCTTGTCTTTGAGGGCTTGAGCACTTGCGAGTATACCAAGCCTATTTTATAGTCTAATGGAAAACCAGATTTTAAGTAGGGTTTAGACAGTTCCAGTTTCTACTTTTGGAAATGTTTGAGTGTCATTAGTGGCAGCATTGCTTGATTCTGCAGGTGGCTCGAACGCCTTGGTAGAGGGGCTTTTGGAAAGAAGTGGATTCAGGCAAAGTGTCTGTCTTTCTCAAGACAAATTGTAACCAAATTACCTGGAAATACGCTATGGATAGCCAGCCAGCAAAATTTCACTCCTATCTGGAAAGCTGAAGAAGGAAGGAAACAAAGCCATTTGGGAATCAGTTCAGAAAATGGAATATGCTTACATGTTAAGCAATTCCTTGGAAAGGATAGCCTGTCATTGAAAACAATGAGAACAACTTTCCAGTCCAGAAAGAAAAAGACGAGATGTTCTTGGTGTGATTCTCCATGAGTAATCCTGTGCCTACTCGTGAGGGAGGAGGGAGAGAGGTGGGGGCTGTTGTTGCCCCAGGCCTTTCTGGTGCACAGCACAGCTATTGTTTAAAAATCAGTTAAGGCAGGCAGCGAGCCACCCTGAGACCAAAGTGGTAATTTGGAAAGTCTGTAAACATCCCACATCCATCAGCAAAGACAACGCAAGAATTCTCACTGTAGCTACACTGTGAAGTATTTCTCTGCACAAATAAGAAAAATTTAGTTGATATGATCTTTGTTCATTAGTTTGGGAGAGTAGCGGGAATGGAGATTTCATCTCCCCCTTTGTGGAAGAGAATTATGGCTTCTCGTTCGTACAGAAGATAATTCTTTATGTAGTAAGCACTGGCAACTTGAAGGCAGAGAGACCTGGACTTCCTCCGTGACTTGGATCTCCTGCTAGGCAAAATAGTGACAGCAGTTTTGCTGAACTTCAGATGGTAATTGCAACCCAGGGAGCATAGAATCGGCGGGGAAGGGGGTTTTGCAAATGCAGTAGAAAGTATTTATATTAGTACTCTTCTTCTAGTTCTCCAGGAAGTGCTGGCATGATCAATAGGGCATTGTTAATACTTCCTGCACCCCAGGACTTACTAAGTCCTAACTTATAAGAAATGTCCTGTCCTTCAGGCAGTGGTTCAGAACACAGCTTCCTCTTGGGTTTAAACAAGCAATCACTTTTTCAGATTAATCTTATATCTTGTACTGGATTTTATCACCAGCCTTTCAGATAGATGGGGACTGGACAGGGCACCAAACCTTGAAGATGACTTCTCTCCAAGAATGTATTTTAAAGATTTTTAGCCAAACAGTTTGAAAATGTACCTGCGCAGACAAAATCTGAACCTGACGTCTCTGTCTGGTTTTATTTCACCAGCCAAGGAAGTGCTGAATGTAGCATTTTAAGAGGAATTTAATGGCAAAATTAAGAGTGCCAGAGATGTGTGCAGTGTTTTTATACTCGCTGTAGGTGCTCTTTTGTAGATAAGTGTTCTTCATATTATAAAACAGGATGAGCTCACTCATGCTGTTAGCAATTAGAAAGAGAAATACCTTATTTAACTGGTGATATTGGGAAGCTTGGCTAGTGTGTTCTGCACATATTAGCTCAGGTATTTTTGACTAATTGCTGTCTTACTATTAGCTTGAGTTTTTAAGTCAATAGCAAAACAACTGCTAAAAGAGCAAGCGTACGAAACTAGCTTCTAGATTGTCTGTTGTAGAGGAAAGAGCATATTAGATGATAAGCAACTTTCCCAGTTAAATTGGCAGTTCCTGTCCCAATGCATAGAATATTTCTTGTTGTTTTTAGTATGCAGCTGAGCTGCCTTTCTGGTATTCTTCGCTTCTAAGTGGCTTAATGATGCAGGCAGTACCTTGCAAAGGTTTTTGCTCTTGAATTTCATGCTAGCTGATAGGTGTCATTGTGTTTTGTAAATAGTACTAACAAATTTAATGTGTATCTAATGATAAATTGAAACCAGATAATTGCCTCAAAATGGTATTGTTGTTGAACGTGCTTAAAGGTTGTGCTACAGTACTGTTAATCCAGCCTTTCCCAGCAGAATCCATTTTGCATCACTAGCTGCTTTTCACAAAGCCACCTTAGCAGAATGTAGCTGAAACTCTTGCAGTAGTTACAGCATGAATGGCCTAATACACCTTTTAGCAAGAGATGCCACAGGTTTAGGAACAGACATACCATCACGAATCCCCACCCCACCCTCAGTTTGCTTATGTCCTTCAGTGCTATGGTACCAGGAGTTTGTTCTAAAATATGCACCCAGCTGCAGTTATGGGACTTGTATGCCTTGAGTGTAGAATTGGAACTCTTACGGGCTGTTTGTCTTATAATGGCATGAAAATGTTTCCCACACCCACCTCTCCCTCAATCTGTAAACCGGTTGGTAAGTGGTTCTGGGAAACTGGTATAGCATTTCTTTAAATTGTATGGCATCTCAGTGCAGCACAGACTTAAACTGTATGGAGAACCCACAAGATTGCACCACACTTGAAAAGACAGTGCTCCATGTCTGGAACATTTTACTTTTGGGGGGGTGGGATTTGGTGTCATTGATAACATGACTATTCTACTGTTCAGGAAAACTTCCTCAATATTAATATACTTCCCGTGTAACTTTAACACAGTGTTATGAAGGTCCCTCACCAAGCAGCCTTAGCGTTCATCCCCCAACATAGAAATTAAATGTCAAAACTGTCCAATTGCATTGTTCTGCATCTGCTTTTTTAAAGTCTTAGTATATACTCTTTCTTTACTCCATTAACTCTTGGATAATCTCCTTCCCACTTCACAAATGCATAAATATACTTTCAGGTAGTTTCCACAATTTTTTTCCTGCAGTAACGAAAAGGTAGTATCCAGCTGTTTTCCATAGTGCTTTTATACATCTCAAAGAACTCTATAAAGGAGATTAATACTGTAGTTATGCGAGTATAAAAATGGCCTTTTAAATCTTTCAGTGTGATTTAAAATGTACAAGAGCAAACTTAAATCTAGCAGTTTTTGAATTCTTCTGTTTGTTTCTGTATCTTTCAAAACTTTATATTGCAGTATACTTACTCTAAGGAGGGATTTGGACTCCATTGTACTAGCTGTTTTATAAATCTCTAGAACTTTGTTATTATTAAGGTCTTAAATTCTCAAATGCATAAATTAATTCTCAGGAGTACCTTGACTTGCATTATAACAACTGGGTTTTCACACCTCCAGGAAGTAGGTGGCCTTGTGTATTGATTGTACTGAAATATCAACCCTAAAGAGGTAGCTAAAAAATGATTTTCCTAACCTGAAGGTTTTGGGTTTAGTGAATAATTTGTCCAACCTCTCACTTTGTTTTTGGTGGAGTTTTTTGTTGGGGTTTTTTTTTTTTTTTGGCTTAAAGTGCAGGAGAGTTCTTTTGTCTATCTGGCTTATTTCATGCTGTTTTTCTTCTTTAGGATCTTCACTATGGACTCAAAGCCTTCACTGCTAAACCCAACTGGATCAATACTAGTATCATCCACAATAAAACAAGGACAGATGGACTTGCAACAACTTCACCATCGAGCTGCTGTCATACCTCCTATGGTATGTTTTTAGTGACTTGTGAGGGGAATCTTATGTAATAGTAGGTTGTCAATATTATAAAACAAATGACGACACTTAGTTTGTTTGTCCTTATCCCAACACTTCGAGAACTCTTCAGACTGTAGTTGTTAACTACAGATAAATGTAGGACGGAGACTTCTGTGCTCTGAAAAGGTCTGGTGCTTGCTTCTGCAGTAGATGACATTCTTTGAAGCGAGTCCAGCAGACTCTGCTTGTGTCAAGTACTAGCTTGGTCATTCTGTGATGTGTAATGAAGAGGTGCCATGTGCTTATTTCCCTCCATTTTAGGTCTCTTGTAGCCCATGTACTGTACCTGTTGGCACACCAGTGAGCGGTTATGCTCTCTACCAGCGGCACATTAAAGCTATGCATGAGTCAGCGTTGCTGGAAGAGCAGCGCCAAAGGCAAGAGCAGCTAGATATGGAATACAGAAGTTCTGCGAGCCCGTGTGGTACATCCAAGAGCCCCAGCATGGAGTGGGAAGGTAGGTTGAATTATGTGAAAAAGTTCAGCCTTTAAAAAATCCTAGATACATACCCCTCTTGTCTTAGTGTCTGGCCCCTTTACAAGGAAACGGCTCTACTTCAGCTGAATAGCTGCCTCCTTACCACATCTTCTGCCAGGTGTCTGGTCCCTCTAAAGGCCCTGGTTGCAGCAGGAAATTGATGAGACTTGTCTGGAGAGAGCTTCATGAGACCTAAGGGCATGGGAGCAGTACTGAAGAGTGTCTAGAGAGAAGAGTGCTGAGAGCACTGCTGAGTAGAAGTCTCGTGCGTAGACCCCTTCCCAAGGACGAGAACCAGCTCAGTCAGGGCAGGTAAAACCCAAGAGCAAGAACTGAATCAGGAAGGGAGCTCAGCAGGGGTAGGACTCACCAGTAAAAGGACCTGGGAGTGGAATGCTGTAGGCCATCTCCATGTGCCAGGAGCCCCAAGGTGAAAATGGCAGAGTTGCAAGAAGAGCAGAGGTTTGCCAAAGGGGGGGGTGGAGACTCAAGAATGCAAGCATAGAACGTGGTGGGGGGACTGGTAACTGGATTTCCTGGAGATTGGGGTCTTAAATCAGGGGCGTGAAGGAGCTGCAGAGCTACCCTATCCTCATTTCTGCCAATTTGGAAAGATGTGAACTATTTTTTTCTGAAGCTTCTGCTGATGGTTACATTGATTTGATTGTAAAATAATGTTCCAAAGCAAGGCTTGAATAAGTCTCTGAGATGGATAATAATAGGATTTCTTTTTTGAATGGGGAAGGTGGCCGTCAAATCTACCTGTGATCCAAAAGTGGATAACATAAAACTAGTCCTTGAAAGGACTTGCCTGTCTCATCATAGTCAGCCACAGAACAATGCCTTTGACTTGGTGCACCTTCTACCCCCTGGTCCGCTTCTGTATGCAATGGCCATGATAAATTTATTGGATTGGATTTAAATATACGGCTGGGGTTTTCTGTCAGTGAAAGTTGATCATCTAGTTGTGATCTCACATGGAGTAGGTTTCATGCTATAACTAATGAACAAATTAAAAATATATACATTTAAAAATGCATTCTGTAAGTAATTCTTTTCTGGGTAGGCAAGCAAGCAGCGTTTTCTCTTCTAACTAATACCTAGTTTGAATTAATTTTGCTCTCTCCAGTTGAGAAAGTGACAGTTACAAGAGCGTCATGCTTCTGCAGGACTATAAACTGGTCTTGATTTAATTTGGTGAATGCTGTAATGTGTAACCTCTGTTCTTTTTGAGTCGCTAAAAAAGTCAAGGGTGTAAAACGTTGAAAGACTGATCCAGCTCTCTTAAACCAGCTTTGCAGTCGAAAGCTAGGACGTTATTCAGAATCTTGCGTTTAAAACGGTTATCTAAGGCAATGGTCTCCAAAGTGGGGTGTGCACAAGATGATCCATTGGGGTGCGGGAAGAAAATACTAGAACTTCTATTTATATTTAAAAAAATTTTGAGCACGCACCCCCACTATATGTACATATACATATAGTGGGGTGTATGCTCAAAAATTTTTTACTGATAGGTGTGCACGATCGAAAAAGTTTGGAGACCACTGATCTAAGGGACCGTGAAGAATACTTCCTCATTCGCTGTATTTGCTTTGTGTAGAGCAAATGTTGCTCAGCATCAGACTTTGTTGATAATGCCTGTTAAATAATCTCATGTGAAACCACCCAGTTACTTTACTTTTGGAAAATAGATTTGAATTTTCTGCTTTTAACATGTGCTGCAGTTTTAAAATGCACTTGTTTGAACGCCATATTCTTAATTCATTTTGCCAAAGTAAAATGAAACAATCATTGCTACGTTAATGAGCTGTGCTTCTTTTGAACAGTGATATACCTGTTCTCTGCCAATCCCAGAAGAGACCTTGTAGAGATAAAACTGTTTTTAGGGTTGTTCCTTTAGAGTAGGTGGAAAAACTTGTGGCTGCCATTAAAAATGCCATTTAGCCAAAATACCACTACTTTGAGTAATAGTTGGCATTGGCAACAGCTTATTATGAAGTGTGGGAAAGTTTTTGAGGATGAAGTCTCTGCCAGCAAAATTAAAGATTGCTACTGTGCCAGCAAAGAGATGGGAAGAATATGTTAAAATATATTTGGCTCCTAAACAGCGTATTGTTTAAAATCTGAAAATTAGAATAAATTGGGATATCTACAACTGTTAATAGCCACTGCTCCTTTAATGTCTATTTTGCCACTGGCTTTCTTCAGAGTAGTCAGTGCATTGGTGACAGCCTACACAGTCTATTTAAAATCTTAACGGTATGTATGTCAAGAGACTTACAGGAGGTGCAGGAGTTAAAGGTCGATTTGCCAAATGAAAGGTCATGTGATGTTGCAGACTGGACAATCTACAAAGGACATGAGCAGGACACAGTGGACATATTTTTTAAGAGTTGACACCGTGTTACTTGTCCTCTTTGCATGTCAGATGCAGTTCTCAGTTACAGTAGGTTGCTTCTGACTCATAACTAGGAATTCTTGGGTTTTCATGTCTTTTGCCAAATGAAATGGAGATTCTAAAGTACAGGCAAATATTGATTTTAATTCCTCAGTTTCTAGAACAAATAGATCTTCCCTTCTCTTAAACATTTTTTTTGGTATGAAATCCCACTGATCATAGATATCGTTGCTGGGAACTTGACTAGGAGTAGCCCTTAAATGGTGGACGAGGTTTAGCGAGTGTTTTTCTGTCTAAGGCAATGTTGACTCTTAAAATCAGTCTTACTGGCGGAGTTTGGAAGGGAATATTGTTTTTAACCAAAAATTGGAAGCTTCATTAAAGAAGCTTTCTCATGGCTTTAGTAAAACTAACTGTGTTTGTTTCTAATACAGTTGTGCTTAAGGTTTGAATCTGAAAATCTGGATCGGTTTTTGTAAAGTACAAAGTGGGGGGAAATAAACCCTGGGAAGAGAGAGAGATTCGTTATCCGTTTAATTTGAACTGCCCACACAGGAAAAAATGTATACAGCATGGCAGACATTTTCACTGTGCTTTTGCTGTAGTTATAAATGCTTAAACATAGTTGAAAAATACAAACTTTGTCAGTTGTTCTACAATTAGCTTCACTTATATCCCTTAAATTTGAAATGTATGCCTGAATCTGGAATACCGCAAAAAACGAACGAGGCTAAAATGCTAAGTATGTGGTGGTAGCATTTGAATAGCACTAAGCATCCAGGAGCTGGCTCAGAATTCGGTATGGTTGTGGCTTCACATGCAAAACTGTCTGAACTCTCTTTATCCAAAAATGTTACTTGCAGACCCTTTCTCATGGGTGAGAGAAACCGATTTAGAAGTTACTTTTATTCAAAAAGGCCTATTTTTATTAGCTCTGAAATCTTGACTTTACTGCTGTGACTGAGTGGTATTTTGAATGCAACCCTTTTCTTATGTGGTCTAAAAGTGTTTTTTGTAATAGGAGAAGCTTTTGGACTTTGATAAGAGCGCTGTTGACATTAGAGCAGATGGTCTTGTCACATGGCTACGGTGGACCGGATCTTTTTGCACTAAACATTTTAATCTAGGGTTCTTCTCTTTCTGATGACTTTAAATTTCATAGGAAAATCAGTTGCCTATATGCCTTATGCTGAGGTCAAACGAGCAATAGAGCAGGAAGCACAGGTGCAAAATACAGCAGCAAGGTCAGCATCACCGTACAGGCTATCTCCAAGAGAAGTCAATAAAGCCTCTCCTCAGCCTGATATGAATGCCGCTCGCTATAGTGTCCCACCAGGTAAATACTGTCTGTTTTGTACCGTGGTCATTGGTTGTCTGCCTTCTGAGGCTAGACTTCCATGGCTTACCATAGTAATGAACTGTTCTTTGGAGTCGTCTCTGCAGTGACGAAAGGATGAGCGACTCTGGAAATAGGCATTCTTTGGCATGGTCTCAGCATGAGGAGCTTGTGCCCTTGTGTTTTTTTATTTTGAAATCAGCTGATTTTTCTCTTCTGATGTGTATCTTATTAGCCAGCCATAAAATCTTAAGATCTTGAGTGTGATATGTATCAAGTTTCCAGCACGTAGGGGAAATGAAACTTTCTGTTCCACTTTAAGTTAAACGCTTGCAAAAAATAAATTCATCAGTACCAGGTGAATGAGGGGGAGGGAGAAAAAGCAGAGTAACCTTTTGGAATTGACATCAGTTTCTGGTTAGAACTAATTTATAAGAGGCTCTTGGTATCGCATCAACTCCTGAATTGCATGACTTTAAATTACCACAGTTCCCTCTGGGGCAGACTGTCAAACAGGAGCAGAAGACAACTTCAGGGAAGATTAACTAAAACTCAGATTTGATCAAGTTTTAAAAAATGGCTTTGAAAACCCACCTCGGTCATTTTTTGAAAGTTTGAAATTGAAAACCATTTACAGTGTAGATGTTACCTCTTAATTTCGTACTTTCAGGCCAGGTTTAATTTCCTCAGTGTTTTCTAAACTTTGCATGTGAACGTGCACAAAGAACGGCACAGGAAAAATGTAGCTAAGTTGGTGTCATGTATGACAGAAGTTGTAAACTGCAAAATGAATTGTGCTAGGTATTTCTGTTACTCATGTTCATACAGTGAATAATAGTGCTGTAACGTTTAATACAATGCTTTCTTTAAAAGTCCTCCAGCCTGCTCCTCATCAAGTAATCACAAATATACCAGAAGGGGTCCGGCTCTCAACAACCCGACCTACCAGACCACCACCGCCACTCATTCCATCCTCCAAAACTTCTGTGCCATCAGAAAAGCCATCGTTCATTATGGGAGGTTCAATCTCACAAGTAAGATGACAATATCTGGCAGGGGTTTATGTACACACAAATACATTCTTTTACAGTTTCTTACTAGCTCTTAACTGTGTATATTCAGTGACACGCTTGTACTCTTCCCAGCTGGGCAGCCTACCAAAAGCCCAAGAACTGTAGCTGCCTTTATGGTATAGAGCAAGTTGCAGCCTTTTTTTATCTTTCACAGAGCTACCTAGTTTGTATGAGTTGTGTCTTTGAACAAAAGAGAAGAGAGAAATATATTCTGTATTTTGAAACTCTGTAGGCTGCGTTCAGTTGTTTTTCTGAAGCTTTTAAAGATGGGGGAAACTTTGCAGGTAAAAGCATGAATACACTAATTCACTTTCAGATAAACCAGTGCTAAAATATTTTTAACAGTGAACACAAAGCCAGTACAGAGCTAAGAAGGGGTGACTTCTGTTGTCCATGGAGTGGTGTTAAACACCACTTTTTAGTGCCTGCAGGGCAAGCAGTTGGAAACAAAGCTGCAAGGTATCCAGCCAGTGTCAAATGTTTGCTCCAGTATTAAAACTGAACTGATGATGGTTTCATATTTAGTTATAGCCTAAACAAGATGCTGATACTTTTCACAAGGGAGAACCACAAGAACAGCCTATGACAATGGGAGAATACTTTATAGGTGCTTGCTGGCTGAACTGGTTTTCGTGTTCCTCTTAAATATTTTAATACAAGTAGAAATACTATGTTAGAAGTGTTAGGGGTAGCTAGAGTTCTTGCAGAGGTGATTTAAATTCAGTAGATACATTTTTCTCATCCTTCTATGTAATTATATTTGGAATATATTATCTGTTATTATATTGTATTAGCTGTTTGGAATATGATTATCTATAGTAAGATATAAGTGAACTCTTATGCCCAAACAAAAAATGTACCTCCTGTATGTCGTCTTCTTCTAGGGAACACCTGGCACTTACTTAACATCCCATAGTCAAGCTTCTTATGGTCAAGAACCAGCAAAGCCCTCTGTGGGTTCCATATCTCTTGGACTGCCAAGGCAACAGGAGTCTGCCAAACCTGGTAGGAAGACCAACGGGAGTGTAAACATTGCATATAAAGTTATGATCATTAGTCACTGAAGAATGAATTTGGTCTTTTTTCTAAATAGCTGCCATACCCTATATCAAGCAAGAAGAGTTCTCTCCCAGAGGCCAGAATTCCCAGCCTGAGGGTCTTTTGGTCAGGGCACAGCATGAAGGCGTGGTCAGAGGTAAGGGCTAACTAATACAGGTTGACTGCTTTTGTTTTTTCTTTTTTTGGGGCTGTCAAGGATGAAGTCAAGCAACTTTTATAGTCCTCACTACTCTTAAATGATTCACCAAATATGCATTGTCCTATTCAAAGCAGGGGGTGCCCCATAACCTAATCTGCTTGAGTCAACAAGCAGATATTATTAAATAGTGAATTATCTTGTACAATAAAAGTCTTTGGACCTGATTTATCTGGTATGTTCAGTGAAATATTAGCAATACCGTTGTAAAGTTTACAAGTGAAAACTAAAGGGAAACTGTCAACTTCAAACACAAAAGCTAAGTAAGCTGTATTGCTTATAGCAATACAGTGTCACCATTGTTTCCCTGATTGCTGAGTGTTTTAAAAAAGGAGTAGTGAAAATGGCCCTACCCAGAGTACTGCAAAATGCACAGTGTCACCAAGTATTTCCTTATCTTTCTATTATGTAGAGACTTATAGCAGTAATACCTTAAAATGAATATGTACTCTTTCTCCTCAGAGAGAGCTTTCAATCACTCCAAGCAAGTAGTTAGATTTTTTAACTGTTGACAGGTAGCCTTATTTTGTGGTACTCTTATTTTATTTTGAATCAGGTACCACAACAACCATACAAGAAGGAAGTATAACACGAGGAACTCCAACCAACAAGGTTTCTGTCGAAACTATGCCTTCGCTGCGAGGATCCATTACTCAGGTATACTTTCTTTTACCTTTCCATGTAAATATAGGTACTTTTTAAACATTCTTTTAACATCTTTGCAGGGTTCTTAAATTGAGAATCACAGAATAGCATCTTCTAAAAGTATTTCTACATTGGTGTCCAGTGTTATTTGAAGCTGTAACTTAACAGTTCTGAAATAATAAATAGCAAGCCAAATTGTCCATTTTTTCAAAAATGGCTTAGCAGTGTGCAAAACAAAAACCCCAGGTCACAGAAGAGTGCTGTAATATAGCATACTCCATTTTTGGTTTAACCGTGGCAGTGAATAATACACTGTTCTTCTATAATTCTCTTATACTTGAGATAACAAAAACTCCAACTATACCAGATACAGAAGCTAGACTTGTTGTGTAGTGCTTGTTCCTCGGTGTCTTTATATATGTCAGATTATACTTCATGGATTTGATTACAGGGTACCCCAGCTCTGTCTCAATCTGGCATTGCTGCTGATGCATTACTGAAAGGAACCATCACTCGACTGGCTACCGAAGACAGCAGCCCTGAGAAGTGCCGAGATGAGTCTACAGCCAAAGGCCATGTTATTTATGAAGGCAAGAGTGGGCATATCTTATCCTATGATAGTAAGTACTTGTATATTTGAGTGGTGTAACAAATCCATAGTTAAGATTTGGAGTAGAGTTTCTACCGATAAAGTCCACAAATGAGTCCTGTCTCAGACTGGATAGCTTAAGAACAAGTTGTTTTTCTAGATTTATGTAGTAAATACCATACTAAGTGAAAAGAACCTCTCTACACAGTATTCAGCCTCTGCTGAATGAATATGAAGGATGCAGTGTAAAGTACTTTAAAATGTGGCAATCTTGATTTAAAAGTATGTATTATGATTCCATAAATTAACTTTTTTTCCCGTGGGACCTCTGCTGTATTCATTGCACAGATTGGGCAGTGCTCAGCGAATGAGAGAAGCTGTTCATTTTTCAGCATCTAGTCCTGTATATTTATTTACTGAATGATGTCACTTTAAGAAAACATTGTGTTTGGAAACAAAGATATAATAGGTGTGCCAATATAAGATATTGCCCCTTTATATTTAAAATGAAATTTAAACTAGTTCTAGTCTTAATGGCAATTCTTCTATAGTAACTTAATACTCGATCTTTTTTTAATCAGTTCAATTTGGAAGCAACAGGGAGGACACATTATTGAAGACCTATAGATTGTTATACATTCTGTTTGCCATATCAAAACATTATTTTTGGTTTAAAACATGTATTCAAGTGAGAAAAGCTAAGGAGGATTAAAGAGGTGACAGTGTTGAGATTTGATGTTTAGGTACAAATTGTTAGTCATTTGTGGGTACTTTTTCGTTTCATTGTTCAATGAATTGCTGGCTTTTGTTATGCTTCTGCCTTCCTCAACCATGTTTGTATAATCCAGCAGCTATTAAGAATGTCCGAGAAGGAACAAGGAGTCCACGGACTGCTCATGAAATGGGTTTAAAGCGAAGTTATGATACTATGGAAGGAAATATAAAGCAAGGAATGCCCATGAGGGAGTCTCCAGTCTCTGCACCATTAGAAGGTAAAAACAACTGCCTGAAATCTAGCGCATGCTGTAAACACAAAAGAGGACCTTTTATATTGATGTAAACTACCGACAAAAGAGCTGACTTCTATGACTTCTACTGTAAACTGGGAGATAAAACTGACATAATCCACACAAGAAATCAAATTGCTGTAACTTAACATTAAGTGATGCAGTAAAAGAAGATAGTGGTACTGGTGTAGACATCTTGTTAGTATAGTACTGCTAAGCTAGTATTGGCTGTAAATTTTAGCAGTGGCACTGCTAGTATTACTTTGTATTAGTTAAACAATATGAGACAAAAGACTTGTAAACCTGGCACTTCTTCTATCAGAGTATCACTGTGTTTGGGGGTTTTTTTTGGTTCCTCACAAAATGACTAACTTCCTAAACTGTCACCTGACCAGAGAAATGGGGTTAGAGTTGAACCATAAACTTTGAATTTTTCTAAATGCCTTTTGGGAAGCACCAAGGAAACGTTCCTTTTCCAAACACTAGAGTTGAGTGGCAGAGGTTCCCGTTGCCAGTGACACCAACTCTGTTTCCTCTGTAGTTAACAGTTAAAAGACATTTGGTCCCCTCTTTATCAGATAGGAATGTGCAGGTTAACTGAGTTCACAGGTTGTGTCTTAGAAGGGCCTAACCTTCTGGCATGTTCTGTATGTATTCCTCATTTTTGAGGTATGTTAGGGTTGGGGAAGGCGAGGGGGAAGCCTGGTAGTAAATGCTGGTGTAACCACTACAACCCATTTCTTTCACAGTCTGTCCAGAGTTGTGCCTTTTTGGGTCTTCATGATTTAAGCTGTATTTTTTTCCTTTGGTACATAAGTTCAGTTTCAAATGACCCTACTTTAAAGAGAGAGTGGTGGTGCTGGAATTGTGTTTTAAGATTTCTCTTAAATGTTATCCATCACTGGGGGAGGAGACTGAACTAGACTGCACAGTGGGGCAGTACAGATCATGTAAGTAGCAGTAGAATGTACTTTCTTGTAGTCTTGTATCTTTAATTTTCTAAATCATCCAAATATTTCCTTTCAGGGTTAATATGCCGTGCACTGCCCAGGGGCAGCCCTCATGCTGAACTGAAAGAAAGAACTGTGCTGTCTGGCTCTATAATGCAAGGTAAAGTCTTTAGTAATACAGACGGCCGATGGTAACTCATTGATTCCAGGAGCCTGGATTTCTAACCCTTAAACCAGTTGCCCACAACTGTAATTGTGTTTTAAAGATAAACCTAGTCCAAATGTTTTTCAAGCATCACCTTTTTATCAGCGGGTTTTGCTATTCTGTTCGTAAGGTTCTTGTTCAAGAAATGGGGGATCTGTTTTACCTAAGGAAACTTATAAAAGTACAGCACATGTTTTTAATATGACTTCTTGGCTCTTAAGACCTCGTTAGTATTTATACAGAACTTTATTTAAATCTCCCATAGAAGCATATGAAAAGATATGTTGTTGTCTGCACTTTTGACATTCGAGATAACTTGGTACCCATCCAGTGACTTAAAGGCTTATTTGATCCTGTTTAGTGGTAAAATTAGTTCATTATGTAAAATACATATTTAAGTCCGTGGGCAGTCCATCTGTCTTAGACATCTGTGCTTTATAATAGACTCATTGGTAGTGTCCAGTCAGAATTCCAACTGCAAGGTATGTGTTCAGTTTGCTCAATATTTGTGATTTTTAAGTTAGCAAATTTATCTGTGAGAGCCCCACTGCCTAGCAGCATACTAAAGATTTGGTCAATTGTATTTTCTTTGTGAAAGGCACACCCAGAACGACGGCGGAGAGCTTTGAAGACGGTCTGAAGTATCCCAAGCAGATTAAGAGAGAATCTCCACCCATAAGGACATTTGAAGGAGCCATTACCAAGGGAAAGCCCTATGATGGAGTCACTACCATTAAAGAAATGGGCCGTTCTATCCACGAAATCCCCAGGCAGGACCTACTGAGCCAAGAAAGTCGCAAGACTCCAGAAATAGTGCAGACTGCAAGGCCCATTATAGAAGGCTCCATTTCTCAGGTGACTGGAATCAGTTCATGCTGGGGTAAAAACCTGGGATTGCATATCTGGTTAGCAATGTGTGCTGGGTAATTTGCATGAAGAATAATAAGCAGCTGTATATAAGATTCTGCTGCCTCCTCTCCCACACACGTATATATGTTCATCCAAAAGTTACAAGCACCTGTCTGGGCAGTTGTGATTGGCTGGCAGGGTGACCTTTGCTGATCGTGGATTTTTTTCTCCTTTCTAGGGTACACCTATAAAATATGAAAGTAACTCTGGCCAGTCTGCCATCAAACACAACGTTAAATCTTTAATCACTGGACCAAGTAAACTACCCCGCGGAATGCCTCAGCTGGAAATGATGCCAGAAAACATGAAAGTGGTTGAACGAGGAAAATATGAAGATGTGAAGAATGCGGATGCTGTACGTACCCGCCATACATCAGTGGTCAGTTCTGGTCCCTCTGTTCTCAGGTCAACTCTTCATGAAGCTCCCAAATCACAGCTGAGCCCTGGGATTTATGATGATACCAATGCAAGAAGGACACCTGTGAACTATCAGAGCTCTATGTCCAGGAGTTCCCCAATGATGAACAGAGTTACTGAAGGTATGCTATCTTTTCTCGCCCAGCGTAGAGTTTCCACTTACAATCAGAATGATTTTCAAAACTTACTCATTTGATTTTTTTTTTTTTTTTTAAGAATATTTTTAAAAATAGTTTTTATCAAATCATATTTTAACAGTTCACTTGATTGGGGTTTTTATGCTGCCGTGGTTCTGTTCACTCTGGGCTGCAAGCCACAAAGGAATTTTTAAAACTGAGCTTTTATTTGAACTGAAATGAACTTTTTTTTTGTCTGCACATTGGGCTTTGTAACCTTCACTATAAAGGTCTTGGCCACAGCATCTTTGAAAGTGTCCCCCATTTGCTGCTTTTAATAACGTTAAGTTTACATTCACTGCTTTTTGTGCTTGTATAGTGCTTTTGGTTACCGATGATCTAACCACATTCAGTTACATTTCATTACGTTCTTGTCAAGTAGATGTTGCTGTTTTACAGGCTGCTATAATGAAGCGCATAAAGATACGACTTATCCAGGGTCACAGTGGACTGGTGACTAGGCTGGGATTAAGAGCCTTAGGGCTAAGTGAAATCCTAACTTTACTGAAACCAATAGCAAGAGCAGATCTGCTCATTTTAATGGTCTGGGATTGTGTCCCCAGTCACTTATATCTAACATTGCAATAGAACTGATTTATGCATTTAATTGTATTGGAGAGCGGTGGGAGGAGAGAGGGACAGATCTGTTTGCTTTGGGAGAATCCAGATCTTTCAGTAAAATGATCTGAGTTCATTCAACAAGGTATTTGTTTTTAGAAGCTGAAAATGAGAGAACTGTAAGGTTAGTTACGTCTACCTGTGAAGTGTTGCTGGTAATATGTTTTGAATTATTTCTAAAAAGGAGCTGGATGTCTGAAAGCAAAGAAGGAAAGGCCCTGCCCACAGTTCGTAATGCAGGTTAAGGCATGATATCCAGAAGAAAGAAAATAACATCTTACTTTATAAAGAAGTCAGGCCAGGTTACATAAACAGATTATGTTATAATGTAGGAATGCCATGTACACTGCCTAATGGTCCAGTTTTTTATAATACTCCACATCCTCACTCTCAGCAAACTAGCTTTTGTTGGCAATTCCATGCAAGTTGTAAGGAGCGGTTTGAAGGAGAGGGGGTGTCTGGAGAACAAGTACCAAAGGTGGGTTAAAAAAGAAATAGCGAAATAGTGTGAAAGGTTGTGAATAGCATTTTACTGTGTGTAGAAGCTGTGTCTTGGTTTGTGCCAACCTCAAAAACCACTTTCATCTCGCTCTATTAAGTTGTGCTTAAATGGATTTGTTTAGAAAGTTACACAAGTGCATGTGCCGGCCATTGTCGTCGCTGTCGTAGGGGATTCTGTTTAGAGCACCCTGCCATTTGGTCGTAGCCTACTAATGCTGCCAGGTAATACCTAGAAAGTCAAGTCTGCAAGATAAACTTAATTACACACACATGATTTTTAGCTCTTGTGCTTGAAAAATAAAACAAGGAACATGTGATGGACCTGAAAGTAGCTTTAAGCTAGAATTGTTTTTGTTGGCTGAAGTTGGTTTAATTCAGTTGAACCTGTTTGCTTCAGGGGGTAATTACGGCCTTTGCCATAATCTGGCATAATCTCCCACTAAAAAAGCCATCTCTCTTTTTGACCTCAGCCTCTTTATTAGTTTAAATTGTCAGGAACTGGACTGAAAGGAGTTTTGTAAAGAGAGCATAAAACAAAGTAATATTTCTCCCAGCAAGGAGGGCTGAGCTAGCCATCTATTATTTCTTTCTTCCAGAGCTGCCTTGTACCCTGTATTCTGTATGCTCTAACTTAGAAACACCTTGCTGAGCTGCATTCCCAGAACACTGCTGTTCCAGCCATAGTGGTCCTCGTGACTTAGCTCTGCCCACGTATGTACAAGAAATTAGGCAGATGGCTTGAGAGAGTTAGGTAGGGGAGGAGCTGTTGGGACATTTTGGGTACCATTATCAGTGCCCACATTACTAGTGGTTCCTCTGCTTTTGCCCTCCTACTGTAAACACTGGGACATAACTGGCATCCTTTGAGGCTGTGTAGCACCCAGCAGGTTTTGAGTTGAATACCACTGGATGCCCTGTCCCCTTTTAAGGCATTTAACTGCACAAATGTTTTGCTTCAAGCCTGTTTCTCAGAAAGGAAAAGCACCTTTATAAATACGCAACTCATGCTAATCTTTGTGAGCCCCACCCTGTACGTAATACAGACACTGTAGCTAAAATAGGTGTTTGTTTTAAAATATCTAGAATTTTAATTGGATGTATTTTTGCTTACTTATATGCATAGCCAGAGTGAAATGTTTGGAGATACTGTCTAGTAGTCATCCCCCAAACCTGACATCATTTTACTACAATTTGATACAAATGTCCTTTGGATCACTTACTTTAATCTCTCTCAAATCAGTAAGATTAAAAAAAATCAAAGGCCACTGTTGTGTAGAGATAAAAGCACAAGTTGAACATTGCCGTGAAAGGTTTCATAGTTTCTAGGGTCGGAAGGGACCTGAGCAGATCATCTAGTCCGACCCCCTGCCGTGGCAGGAAAGAGTACTGGGGTCAAACGACCCCAGCAAGGTGGTCATCCAACCTCCTCTTAAAAACCCCCAGGGTGGGAGCCTGCACCACCTCACTTGGAAGCTGGTTCCAGACCCTAGCCGCCCTGACCGTGCAGTAGCGCCTCCTGATGTCCAACTTAAACCTTCCCTCCGCCAGCTTGTGACCGTTGTTCCTGGTCACTCCTTGCGGCGCTCGGGGGAACAGGGACTCCCCCAGCGCCTGCTGATCCCCCCTAACCAGTTTATAACAGGCCACAAGATCCCCCCTCAGCCTTCTCTTTTGAAGGCTGAACAGGTTCAGGTCCCGCAACCTTTCCTCATAGGACCTACCCTGCTGTCCCTTGATCATATGAGTGGCCCTCCTCTGGACCCTCTCGATGCTGTCCACATCCCTCTTAAAGTGCGGCGCCCAGAACTGGATGCAGTACTCCAGCTGCGGCCTGACCAGTGCCGCATAGAGGGGGAGGATCACCTCCTTGGACCTGCTCGAGATGCATCTGTGGATGCACGACAAGGTGCAGTTGGCCTTCCTAGGTGTGGTGATGCTTCCAGTGATGGGTACTGTGCGGGTCTATACAGCCATTTGAGTTCCATTGCTGGGATTTGAAATTGCAAAGGAAAAGGGCCGGGGGCGGGGGGGAAATATCCATGTTTTGCCATGTAGAAAAGGGTTTTAACCCCCCCCCCCCCCCACACACACACACACACTTCAAATAGGTAAGAGAAAGTTTCAATAATGGGACATTTTAAATAAAAATGTAATTTCCTTAAAGATGCAGCTACAATGGTACTGGTTCCTATACTGGCGTTTGCTTGAGGCTTTGTACATTCATTACAGCCTTGTATCAGCCTGTCCTCTCTGAATGTCCAAACTTTTGGGTGTTAGTTTTGCTTTCTGCTTGTTTTATCCTGGATAAATCTGCTTACTGTTCCAGGTAAGTTACTTCCATCCTGCTTCTTTCAGAAACAGCCGTTCCTTATTGATGCAATTCCCATTATAAACTCATGGCTGTTTCTCAGTGAAGAGGCAAATTCGCTGCTCAAGAGCAAGTGTCACATTATTATGTTCTGAGCTCTGCCACCTTGTGGATGGAGAAGCTGAGATTTATGTCCACTGACCCTTTCTAAGCACTCAGTTTATCTAATCAAATGCACATTGTACACGTGTTTATACTGTGTATCGGACGTTGGACAAAATAGCATTGTCCATGTGAGTGGACTCATAACTGATTTGCCTTAAGAGAATAAAGTCACGGCAAATAAATTTATATTTTGGATATAATTTAAGCAGCATGTTCACTGCCCTTGTAGAAATCGACTATGTAGGAACTCAGAGGTTTCACTGGCTTACTGGAAATGTAATTTGGGGGTTCTTTGTCAGGCACACCAGCCCTAAGGGCGTACAGAAAAAAAAAAGTAAAAGACCAACAGCATGAAGTCACCGAACTTGTTTGTCAAAACATTTCATTCATTTTCCTTGTGGATGTAAGAAGAGATTGTTAGATGAGCCTGAAACTTTTGCTTGTATATTGACCTCAGGCAGCGGGGTTGTGATGGATGCAGTATTCATAATTGTGCTACTAAACTTCTGCTCGAGGCAAACGTACACTTACAAGGGTGAGGGAGGAGATTCTCTCTCCGTGTGCACTTTAAAGCTTTAAAGATGTGGCTTCAGGTTTCTAAAATAGAGACTGTTACTTATGAGTGGGCATCATCTGTGTGAAGGAGCTGGCATGTTAAGCTGAAAGGCCACTTAGCAATGTCCTGCCTTCAGTTGCAACTGTACATCTCATCTAAATGTGTTGGGTGTTGTTGGTATCCAGGTCATAGCCATACAAGTTCTGATTCCTTGGGTGTTGTTGAGCACAGGTGACATTGCAGGGCTCCAGGTGTGCATAAGCCACTTCCCTTTGGAGCTCAATTCTATTTACAACCTCCTGTATCAAGATTGTGTTGCTAAAAAAAGTTGTTTTTTCATTCTCCCTCTCCCCTCCCTTCAGCTGGAATGTCTTCTGGGAAGTCTACAAATCATGAAAGGAAAACACCGCTCACTCCAACTCAGAGAGAGAGTGTACCAGCAAAATCACCAGTCCCAGGGGTCGACCCAGTAGTAGCTCACAGTCCCTTTGACCCCCATCATAGAGGAGCTACTACAGAAGGCTACAGAAGCCATCTTCCCCCTCATTTGGATCCAGCCATGCCATTTCACAGGGCTCTGGATCCTGGTAAGTGGTGTGGTCAGTACTGTCATGATCTTCAGTAATGCACAGAAAAGCCTGTGTTTTGGAGTGAAGCTGTAATTTGGACATTCAGATTATAATATATGTTACATATTATGTTTGGTTTTGAACATTAACGTTTACCTCCATTAATTTGGACAGTATGGATCGCAGGAGTTCAATCACATTTCCATTTATAGTACACCCCTGCCCATTCTTATGACTACTTCTGATTAGTTCAGCCATTTACTTCTGCAGTACTTAGGGATTTATATTGTTTCCTCGCATGGCTTTTTCCATAAAACAACATATTTTCCATTAGTCTATGAATTCATTCTCATTGGAATATCACTATTGGCAATGCTGGCTTTGGCCTTGTCAGAGCTGGCCTGGGAGGTTTGGCAACACTTCTCATTTAAGCGTAAGAAATATCTTCATTACAAATGTCAAGCCACTCTTGCTGCACACTAAATCTTGCTTCTCCTCATTCTCAGCTGCAGCTGCATACCTGTTTCAGAGGCAGCTTTCACCCACCCCAGGTTACCCAAGTCAGTACCAGCTTTATGCGATGGAGAACACACGGCAGACAATCCTAAATGACTATATTACCTCACAGCAGATGCAGGTTAACTTACGCCCTGATGTAACCCGAGGATTATCTCCTAGAGAGCAAACGTTAGCTCTCCCATATGCAGGAGCCAGAGGTATGTCTGCTGCCTTCAGATACTCTTAAAACACGCTTCTGAGGAAGGGGATTGATTTATATGAAACGTGTGGACCAAAAACTGTGACTGGTCTCTACAGACATAAAAGCAAAACTATACAAAGGGTATTGTAGAAGTAGCAGAATCTTGATGCATATTTACTTTTTAGTAACTGTTTTGGATGCTAATAAGTATATTCTCATTCCGTTGTTTTCTAACAGGAATTATTGACCTGAATAATATGGCTCCCACTATCTTAGTGCCACACCCAGGAGGAACAAGCACCCCTCCTATGGAGAGGATCACTTATATCCCTGGCACCCAGCTTACGTTCCCTCCCAGGCCTTACAATCCTGCCTCTCTGTCACCAGGTAAGCACTCGGGTCATTATGCATCATTTTGAATCCTCCTATATATGGAGAGAGTTGACCCTCCTTGACAGGCAGCAAGTGAGCGTGATGCTCTTGTTGCTTTTGCCAGTTCACTTTGGATGATGGGAGATGCTGTTTCCAGTGTATTGTATTGTTGTAGTAGGAGCCAAAGATCCCCAGTCAGGTCCCTAATGCTTTGCACGTACCTTTTGAAGGCCCTGAAGAGCAAACCAAGGGATAAACAAAGCAAAATGGTCAATACTGTGTTGGTAACTCAGTGCCTCTCAGGCACCAGAGGCCAGGTTCTACCATCTGACATGTGGGCACAGTAACTTCAGGTATGTGTATTCAAGACGGAATTTAGCTCCAGCTTTCTGCCAGCTGGCAAGCTTCTGACACTGAAGCCATGTAGTAAGTTGAGAAGGTTATTGACTGATTCCTTCCCTGACAGTGCACATTAAGGTCAGCTTGCTTAGGCAAGTGCGTGGCGTAGAGTGGCATGACAATGAGCTTGAAAATCCATATATGTTTCTGTTGCCCACTTAAAACAAGCACATCTCACATTTTGCTGTGCTTCAAGTGTTTTGTGCTCTTTACTGCTGTTAAAGACATTTCACCTCATGTATTTTTCCAGGACACCCTACACATCTGGCCGCTTCAGCTGCAGCAAATGCTGAAAGGGAACGGGAGAGAGAGAGGGAGAAGGAACGAGAGAGGGAGAGAGAACGTGAACGAGAGCAGGAAAGGCAGCGAGAGCGAGAAAGGGAGAGAATAGCTGCTGTTCCCAGTGAACTCTACCTTCGGCCTGGTGAGTGCTTATTGCCATGCTTGGATCAGTCTTCTTAAAGTGCAGCTAAATGGCTTACTCGCTGTTTGCTGTTTTCAGCTCTAAAATGGTACCATGTAGCCTACTGTTAGCATGATCTCAAGGATAGTTCCCAAGATGTGGAGATTTTCCTTGCAGTTGTAGCTTCCACAGTTGCGTGCTCTTGGCTCTGTTCTGTTTTGGATGGTGTAGGATGGAATCAACCCTGCAGATACTGTCAGCAATACAGTGACATTTATTACAATGCCAGCTGGAGAATTCCAGTCCTTAGAACATCTAAAAACTGGCATGTATTTGGAAAAACTCTGACAAAAAAGGATGGAGGGAAGGAGTAGCTGTATGATTAGTGGTGCATTATTATCTCCACAGTTGCAACGTGGTTATCTCCACAGTTACACTACATGTTATGAATATATTTTTTTTCTCTGCACACTGAAGGTACAGAGCAGCCTGGTAGACCTGGCAGTCATGGGTACGTTCGCTCACCTTCTCCTTCAGTGAGAACGCAAGAGAACATACTGCAGCAAAGGCCCAGTATTTTCCAAGGAACCAACGGGACAAGTGTGATCACACCTCTGGACCCTGCTGCCCAGCTACGTATCATGTATGTTTCTTAAACTACTGTTGCAAAGAAGCCTCTTTGGGGTGAGCTCGTTAGTTAAAAAAAAAAAAAAAAAATTAAATTAGCATGAAAAATTGTAGGGATGAAAGGGCTCTTTGACATCTGGGAAATGAACTTGTATTTTCAACCAGTCCTACTGGAAATGTTAGCTTTGTCTTTGGGAGGCCAGGAGAGGTGTGTTCTGTTCCTATTCTGTGCTCTAATGCAGATATTTGCTTGCAAACAGGCAGCTCACCCCTGGAGCCCCCACCATCACTCCAGGCTTGCCTGCTTCCCGGTACAACACGGCAGCTGATGCCCTGGCTGCACTTGTAGATGCTGCAGCCTCTGCTCCTCAGATGGAAGTTGCCAAAGCAAAAGAGAACAAGCATGAAGGAGGCAGAATAGAAGAGAACATGGGGCGCAGGTCAGCCGTGGTTACTGAGCAGCAGCCACAGGTGGAGCAGGAAGTGCTGGACATGGAAAAGAGACCTGTTCAGTGTCCCTATACATCAGCAGCCTTTTCCAGTGGCAAGTCCCAGGGTCAGTCTTCGTCCTCAGTAGTGTATTCAGAGGCTGGTAAAGAGAAGGGGCATTCTAAATCCAGGTACGAGGAGGAGTTACGAACCCGAGGGAAGACCACCATTACTGCTGCGAACTTCATCGATGTGATCATCACTCGGCAGATTGCTTCAGACAAGGATGCACGGGATCGGGGCTCGCAGAGTTCAGATTCTTCTAGCAGTTGTGAGTATCTTTGCCTTTAATTGTGTGTGCTGTCTTATGTCACTTGCTGCATTGTTCTGTAAGAGGTCTGGTTTTGGTTCTTGAAAACTCTTGAATGCTGTGATACTTAAGCAAAGGTGGGTGCTATACTTCCTTTCCTTCACAGAATTCAATACTGGATGTGAAGTGACAAAACAGTATTCTCTTCTTGAGAAATGGGCAGCTCTTCATAGAGAAATCCAGGTTTTGTGAGAGTCTTGGTGCTTGGAAAAAACTCTTGACATCCAACCAAGTCCAAATTTGCTGCAAATGCCTGGGGAAATCTTAGCCATTCTCTTCTTTGTCTTAAGTCATAGGAAAACAAAACTTAAACCGGCTAGCAATAACAGTGTGCTTCCTAAAAATAATAGCTTTACATATGCAGCAGAAAATTCTCTGTGGAAATGAGGAGAAAAGAGCTTATTTAAATGCTACGGTCATAAAAATAAAATGACTTCTTTATGCAGCTGCACTTCTTGGAACATATGAATGGGGCTTGGTGTTAACAGCCAGTGAAGGGGTTTCAGACGTGTGCTGATTTTGTATTTTATTTAAAAACTTCTCCATTGCTTGAACTTCAGTATCCTCCCACCGGTATGAGCCACCTGGAGATGCCATTGAGGTGATCACTCCTGCAAGTTCGCCAGCGCCTGCACAAGAAAAACTGCAGCCCTATCAACAAGAGGTGCCCAAACCAAACCAGGCAGAGAGTGAGTTGCTTTGTAGCTGTAAAAAAGCTTGTCATGTGCCTAGGGTAGACATTTCCTTTTTATCACTTGCCAGGAAAGCAAATGCATTTAAAGTACATGAGCAGCCTTTTAAGCTATGGCTTAAGGCACACTTCAGTCTTCAGAAGTTCTCTCTAAAGTACATGTTGTGAACTGCAGAGAGTGAGAACATCGGCTCAATGCATCAAAAGTATAATGATATTTAGTATTCCCTAATTATGCACTGATACTCCTATGAGAGAGATTGGGTGTATTATTCCCATTTTGTTTATGGGGAAAATGCAGTAAATAGAATGATTTGACATCCAATGGACAGTTTGAGATGGTTAGGGTGAAAACTCAGAATTCCTGATTTTTAGTCCCGGCCTAAGCTCACTTAACTGTACTGCTTCTCAGTGGAGTATTTTCTGATTAAACACTGTTAAGAAAATGCTTTTATTCAGTTGAAAAATATGCTTTTTAAACTCCCAGTATATTGGCTGTCTAGGAAAACATTTTAAATCTGGCAGACTGTGGGGCAAGGCTGTAACACGTTAAGGTTTAAAATCTTGGTGAAAGATGCTAGTGATAGCTTACTGAGAGGTCTAAGCCAATGCGGTGAAATCTAGCTAAACACTAGAACTCAACTTTCTGTTGCTCCCTTGCTTCAGAGGATCCGATACACGAGCAGCGAGGGAGGAAATGTAAAAAAGCTCTGTTAATTATTCTGGTTACATGAAATCTCATGTGGGGAATGTTTCAAATACTCCTTTCTATAAGTACTTGAAGTACTGTATTTTCTTACATACAACATTCTCAAAATATAATACACACCATGTGTTTTGGAAGGCAGAATGAAGAAGGAGAAAATCTCTCCCCATAGTAAGTAACTGAATACCAGCAGCTAGGGAACCAATTTCCAGCACCTGTTTTTGGAAAAAGGTGAATGTTGTATTCAAGAAAATACAGGTTTTTTAAATCTTAAGCTTCAGTAACAAGCCCTATATAACATTAGTGTCTCATTAGATTGGTCTGCTTCTTTTATTTGAAAACTAGATGATCCCAACAGACAGTATGAGGGGTCGATTCATCGGTACAGGGCACAACAAGAATCTCCATCTCCCCAGCAGCCTCCACCACCTTCCTCACAGGCAGAAGGGATGGCACATGTGCCCAAGACCCATCGTCTGATCACCCTTAATGACCATATCTGTGTAAGTTATTTTGCGTGGGCCTTTTCTGAAATTGGTTAGTGTTTCTGGAACTTGGAAACTTTACATGTTCTGTTACAATAGCAAGTTACGGTGGACGGGGGTGGAGGAGTGGCGCTGGGATCTTGACATGTTCTGCAAGCACGTTATGGGCGTTACAGCTGTGTTTGCATATAGCACCAATTTCAGTTCTTTTAAATGTCCTCAGGGTTGCCAAACCACTGACTGACCTTTTTCTCCACCCTCAATTAGCAAATCATTACACAAAATTTTGCTCGAAACCAGTCGGCCTCCCAGACCTCCCTGCAGCCTCCCACAAGTACATTCCAGAACTCAGCTCCTGTTGCAAGTCCCACGCCCCTTCGGGCCAAGGCACCCAACCGCTACAGTCCCGAGTTGCAGTCACAGTCTGTCCACTACCAACGGTCTGCTGCTAGGGTATCTCCTGAGAATCTCTCCGACAAAGGCAGGGGAAGGTAAAATGACTTTCTTTTTCCAGTTTGACTGTAAATCCGTCTATTGCATGGATAAGTAGTCAACCAAAGCTAACTCTGACTTAGGCTCCAGTTATTTGAAGTCAGTATATCCCTTAACCTTTCTTAGCTGTTTTGAGACAACTTGCATTTTACATGATCTTCAACAAATTGGAGGCATGCGCAGTACACGTCTTATCTTCTTCCTTTCTACACAGTTAAGTGCGGTCTAGCTATTCCGCATAGTTTACAGCCTTTTCCCCATTGTGCTAGATTCCCTGCACGTCATCTCCAGTCTTTGGAAAGAAGGAAGGCATTTAAGCACTTGAAGGTCAGCATAGAAATAAATATGTGGATTGTTTTTGAAAGATCCTGAAATATCCCAAAGCCTTTCACAGACCTAAATATGTCATAAACAATGTAGGATCGATCACTGGTTGTTGTAACAAGTGAACTGCTTGTGTTCCTGCTTGTAAAGAATATAATCTCTTTGCATTGTAAATGTAGACCTGGGAAGTCTCCAGAAAGAAGTCATGTCTCTTCAGAGTCCTACGAGCCCATCTCACCCCCTCAGGTCCCAGTTGTGCATGAGAAACAAGACAATGTTCTGCTGCTTTCCCAAAGATCCGAGCCTACTGAACAGAGGTATGTCTAAAAGCTGAGCTCCTCAGGGAGGGAGCAAATGTTCTAGTTCTCTGCCTGGAAACAGCAGCTCTGATTTTCAGAAGGAGAGTAGTGTGTGTACATGTTCTGTTTGTCGAGGGAAGTTGTTGGATTTCCTGTTTGTAAAAATTTTCATGTTCGGCTTTTAATTTAGGATAGATGTTTCCAAAAGTTTTCCTAAAAATCCAGTTCTTTTGGAACTGGAGATTGATTTCCCTCTCTTAAATTAGCAGCACTGTTTAGGCCTAGAGTGCAAGTGTATAGGAAACTAGGAATTTGTTTTAATTACAGTAATTCTAGAGGCAACATGGTGCAATAGCTAGGGCATTGTTTTCTGATAGGAGACCTTAGTTCTATTCCTGAGTAATCTCTCCATCCATCAACTTCCTTGTGTGTATTAAAGGAAGGTTGACACCTATCAGTAGTGCAAACTACTTAAACATCTGCAAATTAAATGCACTTGGCAAGTTGCTGGTTTGGCATGTGCTTGGGCAAACCCCAGTGCATATTAGAAGTTGGAGACTGTAGCTGAGTGTCTAGAACTGAGGTACGGGAGCAAATGTGTATTAAAATATGTTGAACCTAGCCCCCGGTACAAACTCAGACTGTAACATTTAAAACTGCTGAGAAGAGTAATACATGTTGAGTTCCTTCTTGACACCTGTTGGTCTCAACAGGACTGACTCTCGCTCTCCTGGGAGTATAAGCTACTTGCCTTCGTTTTTCACCAAGCTTGAAAGCACATCACCAATGGTGAAGTCCAAGAAGCAGGAGATATTTCGTAAGTTGAACTCCTCTGGTGGAGGTGACTCTGACATGGGTAAGTGAGTTGGGGACTTCTCCTTTACATTGTATTTTCCAACATAAGTCACCCCTGAACTGCAGTCCTAAAAAATCTAGCCAGTTTTTGGTTAAACAATATTAGAAATAAAAGTATGGATAAAAAACACAACTAAACACTGACTGTTTTGCTGTATTAACTTTTGTAGTTGAGAGGAAGGAATCTTGCTTCTGTAAACCAAGGACAAGTATTTAAGTGTGGAACTACCAAATGTTTGTTGAAAACTTGGCACTTCTCTCTCATGGGATTTACTTGGTTTTCCAGTTTGGTACCCGCTATGTGTAAAAACGTGCTTGTCCACAGTTTTGGTATTGTGTTCCTTGGAGGCTTCTCGTTTTTGTGTTCTAAAAACTGATCTAGTTGTTGTTGGCCACTGCTGTTCAGGGTGTCATGATGGCAGCCTTTGGCTTGAATATGCAACTAGTTTGGGCTGAAGAATCTGATGTCGTGCAGCATACTACCAGCCCTCGTTGTAACAGACTTAGCCTTAGTCAACACACATGGCCTTTCAAAGTTGGATTGAAGGGAACTTAATTGACTCCTAACCCTTGAATGCTATGGTCGGAGCCCATCTCTTGTGATGAGCAGGAAGGTAGTGTTTGTTCCACAGAAGTACATCACTGCTCTGGAAAGTCTTTTAAATGTTGCTGTGTTATAGCTGACAGAATGGGGCCTGTCTTGTAAAAAGTCTTTCACTTATAAGTGAGTTCAATGGGTGTGTGTTAGTACCAATGTTAAACCCGTGTTGTCTCATTCAATAAGAAGAGAAACCTAGGGTATGTGTAAGGGTGGTAAATGTCCTTTTTATTTCTAATGGCCCCATTAGGGTATGCAGCCTATTTTTGTTCTGCTGCACTAAAGTTTTGGCTTAACTTACATCTACAATTCTAGTAAGTGAATGTAGTATATGCCAATGACATTTGTTTGACATTTGCTGCGTGTCACTTTTGAGTCGGTCTGCATTTTTGTATTGTTACAGATGTCCCTATCACGTTTATCATGTAGGTCTACTGACCTGATTTTTTTTCCCTGCTTACCCCAGTGTATCTGTGAACAGTGTTAAGTAAATACAGATGTAATATCAAATCTGTAAAACGCACAAAAATAGGTATATTCAGGTCAAAAAATATATGCCTTTTTCAAGTGCAGTGTGAAATATGTGAGACATGGAAAAGCATTGGTCCATCTAGTCCCTGGAAGACTATTAAAGGACAGCAGACTGCCTGTGATTGTTTTATAACTAGATAGTAAAGCTAAACCTTTTACACATGGATTGACTCTTCCGAGCAATAGCACCTCTCCAGTCCTGAGAACCTCCAGTGGTGAAGTGAAAACACATAAAGGGGACGAATAATCAGAAGTCTGTTTAATTACACTCTGTGCATAAAACGTGCAGCAGGCACCAGTACTGCAAAACTAACTTCACCACTCTGCTTTAATTACAGCAGCTGCTCAGCCAGGAACTGAAATATTCAATTTGCCAGCAGTCACTACCTCAGGTAAGTCTTTCAGAGAAACATCAGTGGCATAATAATTTATGGAGAGTGTAAAAATGGCATAATGCCTTTTTTATGGGTGCACTGGGAGGCTGAGAAATGATGGGAAAATGTAGCATTGAATCGGTGAAGTTCTAACTGGGAAAAATCCTGTTTCAGTACATTATGGGAAAGAAAAATGATTGTAAAGGGAATTTAAGCAAATGTCTCAACTGGAGTTTAGGCAGGAATGCTATTTTATTTTTACTGTAGCTTTACTTTTTGCACAGATGCAAAAACCATGCTAGCACTTTTTCTTTGGCATCTCATTTAACCGGGATTATAAATACTCACAAAATCCCACCATTTTATAGTTTAAAAAAGGTTATGATGCCTGGTCATAATGTGAGTGTGATTTTAGAAAGGAAGACATTGAATCATTAATGAGGTGCTTGCTGCATTTACAGCAAGTGCTCTGGTAACTCCCCATCCAAGACGGACCTGGTTTAACATGTAATTCATATTAATATTGTTGCCTCTAAGTTAAGGGAGAGAAAGGTGGTAAAGGTTAAATGTTTGCCTTTAAATGCTTTAAATTTAATATTTTAATTCACAAAATGAAATTCCAACACAGCTTGGGATGTTTCATGAGTGAAGTGCTTCTTGCTGGGTCTCCTCCCTTGTAACCGAAAGATCTTAATTGTTGCAAATTTTTTAATAATATTCTGTCCAAATTGGCATATTTAACTTCCTCTGCTCTTTGTTTTCAATACACATGTAAGTAGATCTTGTCCGCTGACATTTAGTGGCACAACTGACATGGCTCTTTTAACATGTGCTGGCATGTCTAACTCCTAGCTGTTGTGAGCTGCTTGGAGCATGTAGCTTTGCATAAATTGCTCACCTTTGTTTTTTCCATCTCTCTCTTCCTCTGTCTCTCTCTCTCAAATCTTCTCCCACGCCCCTTTGTAAATCTTTTGAGGTGTATTTTGTCCTTCCCCTCCCACCCTTCCCCATATGTTTTCTTCCTCCTCCCAGGTGCGGTCAGTTCTAGGGGTCATTCCTTTGCAGATCCTGCCAGTAATCTGGGTCTGGAAGACATTATTAGGAAGGCATTGATGGGAAACTTTGATGACAAAGGGGAGGATCATGGAGTTGTAATGTCACAACCTATAGGGGTAGCACCTGGCAGTTCCAACCCTGCAGTATCAGCAAACAGTGAGACCCGTAGAGAAGAAGCTAATCCATCGCCCAATTCAGGTGAGATTTTACAGCTCTGTCAAATTGTAGGGCCTGGAGACAGTAACTGTGGGGTGGAACACAAGGATTGAAGTGAACTTGAAGCAACAAAAACACGAATCCATGCCTGCTGGCAGTGCTGCAGAGACAGTGTTCCTGCCCTTTGGGTGAGGACACCAGTGTCATGGCTCTTCCCATTCACAAAGCAGATTCACCAACTCCAGAAGGAGTGTTTTCCAATACTCCTTTGGGAGCACAGCTGCTGTGATGAGCAGAGGGGATGAGGGGGCATATGCTGCACCTTCAACGTTGCAGTACAGAAGATACATACCTGGAGCAGCATGTGTGGTAACCAGGGAGCACTGGATGAAATTAGGCAGCCTCTGAAAGAACCTTGGTTATGTGGCCATCTCAGCTGAAATGGCCCCCTCGATGATGGGAGTCAGGATTTACTAGCAATGGGGCATAGGCAGCAAATAGGAGCATCAGCCTGCAGCTCCTGGCCAGATTGGTTTGTTCTAGTGAAACCCTCTAGACAGATTAGTCTCCTAGATGTCAGCTTATAAAAACCTGCTGAGTCTAAAATGCAGTGCGCCTTTTTTGAAGAAAATAAATAAATAACTTTTTTTGGTGCGTGGCTTCTATTTCCAGGAGTGGGAGTCGGCAAGCAGAAGTTAATCGGCAAGTCCAGTAGCAGGAAGTCTAAATCTCCTATTCCTGGGCAGGGCTATTTAGGAACTGAGAGACCTTCGTCTGTCTCATCTGTACATTCAGAAGGAGATTACCATAGACAAACTCCAGTGTGGGCCTGGGAGGACAGGCCTTCATCAACAGGTGAGAAACAGTGCCAGAAACACTATTGGGAAGTTAGACACAGCTAAACACGCGTTCAGTGTGCGGGCCCAAACAATCGCAGCATCCAAGGTCAAGCAGGGAACTTTATGAATTGGATGCTGGCAGAGAAACAAACGGTCTCAGTAGGAGGCAAGAGCATTTCCAAAAGACACCACTGCCAGAGGTCAGTCAGGCTGTAATGAGTTTAATTTGCTTTCCCCAAAGTGATTCCTATTCTCTACCAGTGGCTGAGCCACCTCAGAGATGTGAAATTATTTAACTTTGAGAACTGAAATCAAGTAATTTCTATCTAAACCCCAAGACCAGACCTCCGTTGACTGGAACAGTGAGGGATATAAGTGTAGACAGCTGCTGAAGAACATTTTTTTTTTTTCCTTCTTCCAAAGTACTTTTAGTCCCTGAAACTAAGTCCACTGTATCGTATCAAGCGGCTTGTGCCAAAGAAATGTGGTAATTTGCTTCCTGCGGTGTTCTGAATTAAAGCTATGAAAATTAGCCAAGTTCTGCATACCTTCAAGTTAAATAAGTTGCCCATCATCCCGGCTGTTATAGTCATGGGGATTTGAGGAAAGTAACTTATTTTTCCTTTCTCGTGGGTGGCCGTTGTTTAAAACAAGCAGGTGCTGACTTTTCTGTCAGTGAGGGAGAAGCTGGTTGGGACATCGTGCTTTTTTTGACCTGCGTGAACTTTTCTTTGACTTAGGATCCACGCAGTTCCCTTACAACCCCCTGACGATGCGGATGCTCAGCAGTACACCGCCAACATCCATCGCATGTGCTCCACCATCCATGAGCCAAGCAACCACTCACCAACAGAACAGGATCTGGGAGCGAGAGCCTGCCCCACTGCTTTCAGCACAATACGAGACTCTGTCTGACAGCGACGACTGAACTATGCAGAGGTGGTTTTTCTTCTTTTCTTCTTTTTTTTAAATTTGCGGGTCAAAGGAAATCTTCTTTTTGACTTGTGCCCAAAGAGACTTTCCCAAGAGAGCAAGGGCCATATGAGATGGAGAAGCGACGGAAACTTTTATTTGGAGAGTCGATTTGAAAGATGCCTTCTGCACAGCCCATGTAGAGGATTGTGATTGAGGAAGGTTGACGTACTAAAGATAAATATGTAAAGAGTTTTTAAAAATATGGACTATTCCTGTTCTACATCTGTTTGTAAAGAAAACCATGTCCTTAAATCATTCTTCTGTAAATAGAGAGTACTTTTTGCAGTGGTTTTCCCCTTGCTGTAGTATCTGGTGTACTTATGTTCAAATCAATGCATAAACTTCGGGGGTCATTTTGTAATTTTTTTTAAACATCTTCTCAAGTGTAGAATACTCCTCATAACCCAAGCCTGCCTACAGCAGCAGCATTGCCCTCTAATGCTGTGCTGCTTCCCACAGGCCTTGTGCTTTGATCTAATTTCTCCTTAGACACATTTTCTCAGTGGTGTTCAAGCGCTTGTGAAAATGTTTTTTTGTTTTTAAGACTGCCCCCTTAATGAACTCTGTACATTAACATCGTCTGGTCCACTGGAGGAAGATGATATATTTCTCTTTGATTTTTAAATTTCTGCCACATTGTAAATTTTCAGTGCGGTCAGTTTTATTTAGCAACACTGCAGAACTATTATTGCATGGGTATGTTTATGGTTCAGTTTAAAAGGAAAAAAACCCCGAAGCAGCTTCTGGGAGCATACCTCACTGTTCCCCACACTGGTGACCGAGTGGCGTTCTAGGGGACCCTTTCCGTGTTTCCTGGCTTCTGCATTGTATGCAGCCCGAAGAGGTTACTGTTTGAAACAAATCTCACTGCCATGCACAACTGCAGCAAACCGCTGGTCTGAACAAAGGCTCTGGGTGGTTAATTGGTTTGTCAAGAGAAACGGAGCAACAGCCAGCTCTGGTTTAAAGAAACAACAAACGGCTGTTGAGCTTTGAGTAAACCAAAAGGTACAAGTTGACCTTTTGGTTTTGATCTGCAGCCAGTTTGAACTAGATACTGTGATTCCCCCCTTACTTCACTCTAATTGCAAACCCTTTTATTTTAAAGTGCATATCCCGGCTTTAAACCCCAATTCCAGAAGAGAAAGGTCATCCGTTGAAACCCAAAATCTTGCATGAGCTAGCCCCTAGAACAGGGGTGGGCAAAATGCGGCCCATGAGCCAGATGTGGCCCTCCAGGCCATTCTATCTGGCCTGTGGGGCCTCTAAAAATTTAGAAAAGTAATATTTATCTACCCCTGGCTGCCTGTCATGCGGCCCTCGACGGCTTGCCGAAACTCAGTAAGCGACCCTCCGCCTGAAATAATTGCCCGCCCCTGCCGTAGAGTGTGCAGTAAGTTCTAGAGAAATCACCTCTTAAAAAAATCATGGTACTAAAAGAGGGGCTCTGTAATCTTTCATCTACCAGTTCCTGCTGCACGAGCAGGCTCTATTTCATGTAGTTCACGTGCATCTGACTGGTGCTGCCTCAGCTGGTTGGATTCTCAGCCTTTTTACTTGGCTGCTATGAGGTAAAAGGCAATTTGTGCTGGTTAGGGGAGGACGCTATTTAATTCAGGGAAAAATGTCTCTCCAGTATCAGATTAAACAATGTCCATCCCCTTTAGCAGCTAGACTGTTCTGAAGGGTCTTAGCAGAGAGCTGTCAGATGCCGTGCTTCAGTGATTTACCTATCAAAAAACTTAAACTTGACTTACTCTATTTGCCATTCTTGCATCTGGAAGGTACAAAAGTTGGTGGTCTGTAACTCAGCGTCCATGCAGGCTCCACATTTTATGGAAGAGCTTGGAGGTCCTTGTTACAGACCAGAAGCAGCACTGAATTAGTATAGGATATTTTAAGTCACGTAAATGTTGAGCAATCCATTTCCCCAGTTCCAGGAAGGAGAAAGGAAAGATGTTTTTTAACCCTTCTCTTTGGGCACTTGATGATACGCTGAAGGTATTACAGGATTGCCTTGAGGCTGTCTTTGCATCTTGTATCCTGCAGTTAGTTTGGGTGCGTTCACATCTCCTCTAAGTGTCTTCACAGTTTGAAAAGAACTAAACAATTCTGGCTTCTAGGACTAAAGCATCCATTGGGTTATTTGTGTGTGTAGACCTGTGCCCTGACTTTTTAAATTCTCCCTTTATTTTTCCACAGCAGCGTGTGCTGGAAAATAAGTCCGTCTACCCTTAGCGCACAGTTAGTGTTGGGAAAGTAGAGAACCCAGTCCCATTCTAAAATTCACCTGCTTAAGTGATCGAGCTCAGCATGAAATAGAGGTTTGTACACCATAAGCCTCATGTTAACTGCACAGTAAAGAACAGAGGATACACGTGGCATAACTTTCAAGGAAGTCTGTACTGTCGCCTTATAGCTGCTGTGAGGTGGCCTAGCTAAGGAGTATTATTGGATTCCCATGAGACATGTTTTGTAGCATTTGCACATTAAATGTAATTCTCATTAATTTTCATCAGGCATGGTTCCCTTGCCCTTAACTTTGTTGCTGATGCCCAGAGCCTAAACGCAGGTTCGTTACAATTGTAGTAGCCTCTCACTAATCAGATGACATCTGCCCCATTTCAAAATGAGGCTACCGTACATCATTGTTTACAAGGAGCAGTTTATGACAACTTTTTAACTGTGTTCTGATCAGCGCTTTCACAATGTTTTCATCTTGGTATGTTTGGTGATTCTGATACGAAAACATTCAAGACTTGAAAAACCCATGTGTCATGATAAAATTTAATACTTTTTTCACACAATGTCTTCAGTAGACAGTGACTTCTGGATTCAGACCAATCAATAAAGGGGATCAGTTCTCCACTTGCTTTGCCTGTCTCTCCCTCTCATTTACAGCCTCTAGCCAAGCTGATAACAGTAGGCACAAGTTTGTACAGCAATGATGGAAGCAGCCTCATGGAGCTCTGAGCTCCCTCCACTCCTATGCCATGGTAAGAGTTAAAGTACAGCAATGTGACACTTTGACATGGAAGCAGAGTTAGACATGTGCATTGGGCACCTGTAAGATGCTTCATCCTCCAGTAAGTGTGGTAGGAAATGCACGGGCTTTCAGTTCCTTGCAACTGTCAGGGCTCTTCAGTGAACATGCACACTGAAGAAATGCAGGACACACTGTAATACAGAGGACCAGGGCTGAATGCATAATTGCTCTGCTGTACAACTAAACAGAGCTGTGATCACTAGCTAAGAACAGCTTCTTAACTAGTTGCTGCCTCAGCATCTTAGCAGTCACCAAAATACCAGTGCTAGCTCTGCTAGCCTAGGTAGACTTGTGTGGGTAACTGTTATTTTATCACATCTCCCGTGCTCCTTGCCTGCTGGGGTAGAACACGAAGTAGCCGCCTTCTGTTCAGGCTCAGAAAGCACTTACGATTTTTCTTTTGCAGCAGGAAGTTGCTGCAGTTAGTTCTGTGGCTCTGTTAGTGCAGTATGAGCAAGAGAGCCGACAGGAAGCATGGACTGACCTAGACGTTCCTCCCAAGCTGTGACCCAGCTTGGAAGCAGAATGTGTTTTCCCCCAGGGAGGCTAAGCTTTCTTTTTTGGATGCCTTTAAGCACAAGAATACAAAGGTCAGAGGCTGAGACGTATACTAAATAACCTCAGGCCAGGCAAAGTACAGAAGAGAACTCACTTGGGCATCTATAACAGTTAATGCTTTATTTGGGGCCAGACAAAAGAAGGCCACAGCAACACCTCCCGTACTCCCCTGCTCACTCAGCACTGAGCCTGTAATTTGTCCTTTTAGTTCCCCCCAGATCCCAACATGCCTGTGCTGTGCGCAAGCCACCTCCTGGCCCCCTGTGATGCTTCAAGCTACCTCTGTACATTGCCACCTATGGGGTTTGTGCCTTTCTCCACGTGGCCAGCTTGGCCAGCTGCTTCTGGATGTGCTGGACAGACGCATCATCTCCCTTCTCTTGTGCCTGCTTCAGGGCTGCTTCATATACATGTTTTGCTTGCAGAAAGTCTTCTGCATTTAAGGAGGGGAAAGGAAACTCACCGTGAGCCTCTCTCCACTTTTGGATTCTCCTTTGTGGATTGCAAGCCAGAGAGGGTTGGTGTTTAGCTCTTGGTAGAAAGGGATTATCTGGAAAGAGTTGGCACCTACAGCCCTGCCCTGCTATCTCCCAGCCCAGAGAGTGGTTTAAATGTAACATACACCACATGGTGTGGCGATAAAGCAGATCACAGCTCCCGCACTGCCTCCCTGCATGTTGCTGTTCTGACCCATCTCCCCAACCCCACTCAAGTCTTCCTTGCCTGCTACGGCCTAGGCACAGGCCTTGTGCCCCACACACAGGAACAGCTGGCTGTGGGGGCAGTCCTTACCTTTATGCATCAGAATTCCAGCCAGGTTGTTCAGCACCACGTGCTCCTCGGGATGCTTCGTCTGTTTCGCCAACTCTGCTGCCCTTTTCACGTAGGTGTATGCTTCGTCGTAGCGTCCCTGCACATCCAGCGCGGTCGCCAAGTCGCTCATCAGGACCACCGTCTGCACCAAGACAGCAAGGAAAGCATTAGCGCAGGGGATAGAGAACAGTGGCATGGAGCACTTGCCCTCGTGACAAGAGTGACGGACTCTTCTGCAAGATGACAGCAGTGCTGGCTCGCCCACATGGACCATTTTCATGCTCAGTCTTCCGCTGCCTGAGCACAGAGCCTGATCTTGGATACCGGCCCCAAGGGGAGCAGGCCCAGCTCCAAAGCAATCCCGTTGTGAGCACACCTCCCTTGAACACACCCGTTGGGCCCAGCTCACCTGTGGATGGGTCTCTCCCTGGATGTCCTTGGATATCTGCAGGGCTCTCTCATACATTATTTGGGCCACAGTCGGCTGGTTGCGAGTGAGGAGGTAACGGCCGTAGGAGTCCAGGCTCAATCCGAGCAGGAGGTGGGTGTTGGCTCTTTTCTCTGCTGCAAGCAGAAAAGAGAAGATGGGTTGAGGTATTGCCCCTTGCTCCCAGGGAACTACTGAGTACAAGACTGTCAGCCAAGAGTGGGAGGGGGTCTGGGCACCAAGGCAGGCAGTGGCTGGAAGTCACTGGGCAGGGAAGCGCGGGGCGGGCACAGTGCCACATTGGCCACAGCGAGCACCTAGGAGCTGCCTACCAGGGAGGACGTCTTCAGGCAAGTCCTTCTGCGCAGCTATTTTCTCCTCCAGGGTCAGGATGCAGAACTTGTAGCCTGCGAGAGCCTGCTGGTCTCTGCGTAGCAGTGGGGGAAAAAAAGTCAGCCTTTGGCAAACCAAGTCCACCCCCCACTCGAAGCAGCATGTGCAGGACATCCCAATCTAATCCTTGCCCCGACTGAGACCTCAGGAAGGCACCGCAGTTCTGGGCAAACAGCACCTGCTCCCAGCCTCAGCCCCTAACACCATGGACCAGTTCTGGATCAGCTCAGCTAACTGGTGAAGGGCTCCAGGATCCCTGGAGGTAGTGTTGCAGGGCAGGTGTGCTCTACTGCTTAGCTCCAATCCTAAATGCTAAAACCCAAGTCCCTTTAGCCTGCACACGTTCAGCGCATTAGTCTCCGAGGACACCTTCTGCAGGGACTCGTCCTCAGATGACTGCAATTGGGGCTGACCTGCTGCCCAGGCCAAGCAGCCAGAGGCCTGCTCTCTTGAGACTGAGGCCATCATGGACTCTGAAGCCAGAGTTGAAGCTTCCCCCTGAGCTGTGCCAGCAGGACCCTCCTTCCTGGGGACAAGACTCTCCCTTGACCCAAACCATCACGGAAGCCTTGGAGCTCTTGAGTAGGGTAGGCTGCAGCTTGGGACGGGTACTCACTGGTTCCAAGCAGCATAGATACTGGCCAGCTTGAGGGACATCTCGATGATCGCGTTGTCATCCTGCCAGGGGAGAAGCCAGAGGTGCATGGACACAGCAGCCAGAGCGTTCAGGATCACGCCTATAGGGTGTAGGCCAAGATAGTGTCCTGCATGAGGCAGGGGCACTGGTTCTGGCAGTGGACACTGCTGGAGCGGTGGCAGAGGTTGCTGTGGCCCCAGCACAAGAAGCTTCCAGGCTCTACAGGGGAAGGGACCAGTCCACAGGCTGTGGAAGAGGTGCCAGGTTTGTCTGCCCCAAGAGAGGTAGGGACTGCTGCAGTGGGGGCAGTGAGGGGGGCGGTGGAGATGTCCCTATGGGGAGCAGGAAACCGTGCGGCAGGCAGCAGGGGACTCACCTGCTTAGTGTCCCCAGCCAGCAAGAAGCTTATTGCTGCTTTGAAGAGTTTCTCTGCCTGGAATGAAAGCAGGTGTCCGGGGCGGAGCCAGCTCTGAGCTATACCTGGTGGCAAGCACCACCCATACTTCTTGGGGGTGGGGAGGGGTTTTGAAATCTCTTTGATCTCTGCATTGACTCATTTTGCACCCTCGGGCACTGGAGTAGCAAAGCCTGCACCAGGGCCCTCGCACCCGACAAGGCAGAGGAAGAGCTGCGCTAGGAAGAGACTGCCCAAAGCACAGGACTGGGGCCCTGCAGCGAACAACCCAGCTTTGCTGCAAGTCCCAGGGGAGGGGAGAAGGGGCCTGGAGAGGAGATGCAAGACCCCGCTCGCACCCTGTGACCAAAGCTGCCGCCACGCTAGTGCCCCGATGTCCCCGGCTCCGGACCCCCGCTCTGCGTCTCGCTGTAGCCGAACAACTCAGCGTCACCCAGCTGTGCCCCTGGCACGGGAGGACACGACGCGGGGCGCTCGCCCCAGAGGGCTTCACTCACACTGTCCAGCTGCCCTCGCAGAAGCGCCAGGTTCGCCATCTAGGAGAGAGGCAGACGGGCGCTGAGAGCTGCCCAATGCAGCAGGCACCTGGCCTGGGGCTGCCCTGGCAGCGAGTCGGGGCCAATGCAGCTGTCGCGTGACCCAGCCCAGAGGAGACAGGGCAGGCAGGGAGGGTTACCATGGTGTAGGTGTAGACGATGGCCTGCCTGTGCTGCGACTGCTGGGCCAGGCGGGCAGCTTGGTGCAGAAGCTTCTCTGCCTCCTCCAGTTCGCCCGTCGTGACGCTGAGCTGCAAACGGAGACGACGACCAAGGGGAGCTCGGGCTGCCGCGACAGCCTAGTCCCTGCCGGGAGCCCTGAGCCCCCGAGGGTGCGGAGGCAGTCGGCTCCTGCCCCGGCTTCCCACCTTGGCTTTCTTCAGCAGGGTTATAATGGCATCCTCGGTGTCCGCGCTTGCCTCACCAGCCTCCGCCGCATGGTTGGAGAACAGGGAGAAAGCTGCAGGGAGACGGAGCAGGGCCAGGGCCCCACAACCCCCAACACCTGTGATCCCCCAGTACACGTGGCAGGACCCCCCACCCAAACAGCCCCGCCCCCTGA